CAGCAATTCTTGCATTTCCATCTTATTTGATCAAAATGGAGATGAAATAACTAATGTATCATGGCCTTGAATGAAGTCCTATTCACAGGGACAGCATTACCAAGACTATTTACTGCCCATGACCTTCAGGGTAGAAAAGCTGAGGTCCCCCCACAAGGAAACTAGGAAACGGGACCTTCTGTCTGACCCTGGGCCAGTGGGGTATTTCCCTAATACTCAGTCTCACCTTTCAAAGCCTTGGTAAGGCCAGGCTCAACATCTCAGAGGTTCACTAACATTGTCTGAAAAAAGTGTGTGCTGAGTCCACTCTTCACTCCTAGACATGATGTACATCCACTGTTCCTTACTGTGTTTTCACATAAAGCACTGGAGATTTTGTTCTGGAAAGCTCCAGCTGAGTTTGGGTGGAGGTACATGATTGAATATGCAGGAATGAGCTTCTGGAATGGGCTCAGAGATGCTCACACTCTGTAGACCACTTGGGAGTCCTGGTTTAGCATAAACTCTTATCACTTTCACACTGTAGAGCCTTTCCCAGAGGAGGCAATGTCCCAGTCCCTTTGCAATAGCAGGGGTGACCAGGTAGCCTGCAACCAAGTGTTTGGGCCACAAAGCACAAAACTAGTTCTGGTGACTGCTAGCTCATTTTTTTCAAAACTTCTTTAAAACCACACCACCTAGTTTAAAGAGAGGAAGAAAGGAACAACTTCTGAAAAAAACATCAGGGCTTCAGCTTCTGTGGTCTTTGTAGTGCAACATCTTGACACTATCCTGTGTGGACAGCAGCAATTGTGAGGAATTAGTTGAAGGCGACTTCCCAAATTCCAGGTGTTTTCTCAACCCCTTATCACCCAAAGGCACCCTGGTGCCACTAGCCCATGTTTCCTCACAATTCTTGGGGCAACCTCCACCCAACAACAGTTGACCACTTGTCCACTTCAGAGATGGATCATACACAAAATTGCTGCGGGAAGTAGGTTTGGATTCCAATGCCCCCACTTTACGCAGTAGTTTTCCCATGATGTGGAGAACAGATAACTGGGCCACAGGTATGAGAGGGGTAGGGGTGCCACCAGCAGAATCGTCCAAATCATATCTGAAGGTTCCCAGTGTGCTTAAGCTGGAACTGAGTCCCCTGATATAGTTCTGGAATTGATCTTCTAATTGCTTTTGTCTGTGCAAGGTCATCCTCTAAGGCTGAGATTTGCCTGCAGCCTTCTGAAGGCTGAGTTTTAGACTTCTCCTTGATGGCTTCTGTTTCCATGCACAGGCAGTTGTTTTCTGACAGAAGGTCCCGTTTCCTAGTTTCAATTTGTTGCAGTGCATCTCTATCTAGTTCAGCGCTCAGCTTCCTTCTTGAAATTCTTGAAGCTCTTCTTGCATCTCCTCTGCTCTTTTCTTGTAGATCTTTCCAGGAGTTAATTTCTTCCTCCTCAGAGCTGAAGGTTGTCTTTCTGGAGTCCCCCATCGTGAAGCAGGGAGGAGATCTCTTCTTGTGTCATGGTGTCTGGCTCAGGAACCCACACCTGGCAGCAGCTAATCCTTAATTAATGGCTTGAGACTTTACCCACAGGTCATTGATCCACCTTGAGTTGATTTTTGTATATGGTGTGAGATGTGGATCTTGTTTTCTGCAGATAGAGGTCCAGTTTTGCTGGCACCATTTGTTGAAGAGGTTGTCATTTCCTCATTTAGTAGGTTTTGATTCCTTGTCAAATCAATTGACTGTAGGTAGATGGGTTAATTTCTGGGTTCTTGATTCTATCTCGTTGGTCTGTATGTCTGTGATTATGCAGGTATCATGCTGGTTTTTATTACTACAGCTATATAGAAGGTTTTGAGATCATGAAGTGCTATGCTTCTCACTTCATTTTTATTTTTCAGAAGAGCTTTGCTTATTCAGGATCTCTTTCCTTTCCAAATTTGCCATTTGTTATTTCAGTCTTTGAGTTTGCTATCTGTCTTAGGATTGTGTTAAAGATTGCTTTTGGTAGGATTGTCATTTTCACTATGTTGAGCCTTCCTATCCATGAACAGGAAGCATTTTCTCTAGTTAGATTTCTTATTGTTTCTTATAGTAGTATTTTGTTGTGTTCTTTATAAAGATCTTTAGTATCTCTAGTTAGCTCTATTCCCGAGTGTTTCATTTTGTGGTTGGCTATTGTAAGTGATACTGCTCTCTTAGTTTCTTTTTCTATGTTCTTTGTTGCTGTAGATCCCACTGTTGGTTGGTTGGTTGGTTGGTTTTAAATTGATCTTCTATCCTGCCGCTCTCCTAAATTGATCCACTAGGTCTAACAGTTCATTGATTGACTCTTTGGCGTTCTCTCTGTACCCTATCATATTGTCTGGATATGGTGCCAGTTTTACCACTTCTTTGCCAATTTAGATGCCTCTTATTTCCTTCTCTGGTCTTATTGCCCTAGTAAGTACTTCCAAAACAATGTTGAATAGGAGTGGTGATAGTGGGCATACTTGTCAGGCCCCTGTTTGCAGTGAGAATGCCTTTAGTGATGCTGGCTCTTGGTTTAGTGTATATACTTTTCACTATGTGGAGAAAATTTCCTCCCATTCCTACATTGTTGAGTGTTTTAATCAGCAAGGGGTGTTGGATTTTGTTAGACTTTTTCAGTATCAGTTGATAGGATCATGTAGTTCTTTGCTTTGTTAATGTAGTGATTTACATTGGATCTCACTTGGTGTCTTTTGTAAAACTTTTTCTTGTGATTTGAAGAAGACTTGGGGTTGTAGTTGGCTACTGATTGTGCTGCTAGCTGAGAAGTACTGGATCCCAAACCATTAGCCACCCTGGGAGAAAGACAAGGCAGTCTTGTCTAGAGGTGATTTATGGTCTGAAACCTGTTTCCCATTTTTAATCACCCATCCTGCATCTGACCTTTATCCCTGGGCAAATGCTGTCCTTGTTATCTGACATGTCTGCTTTAGCTGAAGAGTTTGTAGCTTCATGGTGTTAGTGTTCACATGTTGACCTGTCCACTGGCTGAAAGTAGAATCATGCTGGTGAGTTCCAGGCTTACTGGATATCTGAGGGTCATAGTCTCAGGGGCTTCCTCAGTCTCTTTCACACCAGTGAGCCTGATGATCTTCATGATTTTGTGTGTGTTTCACATCTTCTCCCATTCTTTCCAGGGTCCTCTACTGTGAATCCCTATCAGGGCAGTCAGCAAAGGTGGCCAAGGCACATCAAGTTCTTCTGGTCTCTGGGTCATGGAGGATTCCTTTTTGGTCCTCAATGGTTTATTAGGGCTGAACTTTACCAGCACCCTGTTCTCAGCAGTGACAGTGGAGCTGCAAGATGCTGTGCCTTCTTCAGGCAGCACAGCACAAACTTCCGATGGTGAGGTGGAACTTGTGGCCCTTCCTGAGGCCAGGGTTCTTGCATACAAAGGATGTCAGCTCACATATCTCCCAGTGTCTGTGGATAGGCTTTGTGATCCATTGGGTGTCAGGATTTCTTTTGATCACTTTATGGAATGGATCAATGAGGATAACTTTAAAGAACTTGTATGTGGAATTTTCAGCCACCCAGTAAGAATTCGGGACCCTCAGGGCCCCACAGTGCCAACCACCTCACTCCTGACTGAAGGCTCTGAGTAAACTTCAGCTGGTCAACATGGTGGACAGGCTTGCCATAGGTTCCTCCCTTAGAGACAGATTGTTTGCAGCTTCCCCAGTGAACTCGAATCCTTCAGATGACATAACTTAGCTTGGCCTTGTAGCCCAGCCTGAGCACCTTGTTGGACAGGAGAAAGCGCATCCCTTGGACCACTTCTTCTGCTACAGCTCCCAGATGTGCTTGGAAGTGCCCATCATGGCTCACCCTGATGGCTGCCACCTGATGGAGAAGAAGAAGCAGCCTTACTCTAAGAAAAATGTTTTCGTTGTTTCTTTCCCTCTTAATTGCAAATACTTGGTTCTAAACTTTGTCACCTCAGTGACATTTTCCTTTAAGGAAAGTTACAAATGGTCTGCTCTCAAAAATGGGAGTATTTGGTGTACATATATTTGGACAGGTATAGGTCCTTGGACCCTGGGTAATTTTGTACCATAATTAAGGAGCATTACATATATGATTGCTATACGTCACTATAAATGATTTGCCACCATTCGTCAAGAAAACATGATACTCGGATGACTGTAGAGTCACCATTTCCCTTTCCTTTTTGTATTTTCACTTGAGAGATCTGCCTGGTGTGGTTCAATCTTTTTGGACAGAAAACACATGGAATGATTTCTGCATTTGTCCCAGCTTTTCAAAAATGTCTTGGAAAAATTATTGCTAGATCTGAGTGAAAATTTTAAAGACAGGAAAAGCACTCCTAAAACAAAAGAACCAAAAGTCAGGCTAGTTGGTAGTGTTAAAGAAAACTATACTTTCAGGAGAGGTGACAGACTGTGCCCCCTGTCCTTTTGGCCATGTGGTTATAATGCTGGAGAAGAGTTTCACTCTATTCACCACAGGGATATGTGCAGTTCTGTGGTTCTGAAGCTGAAGAATGGCTCTGTTCTGTTCACTACAGGGATCTTTTTACTGGGTTGCAGTTTGTCAGGCCAGAGCCATCTCTTTAATCAGCCCAGCCCTATAAAATTGCCTGTATTTGGCCCCTGGGAACTGTCAAAAGCAGCAGTCACATACGGTTCACTCCTGTAACTCCGTGCAACTTGTCCTGAAGTTGTGTGTTTGTAGCCTGAGTTGGTTTTTGATTACTACAGTGAGGGGTGTCATTTTCTTACTTGGAGAATAATTGTGCACAAGTACACATCCATCAGCCTTGTTGGAATCACATTTATTCTGCACTGCTTATCTTCCTTAGAGTTGTGATGGATTCATGGGAAATCCACAGCCTTCTCTCTGTTACTAGCTTATAGCACAACAGTATCAGTTTGAACTCCTAGTCTGCCAAAATCAATTCAGAAACGTGACCTGGACCTCTGCAAGCATACTTAATATTTTTATTCTTTTCCTTGTTTTCTTTTAGTCTCAGATGCAGGCATCAGTGGGAATTATACCAACACAAGCAATTGCAACTGGCCCCACTGCTGACCCAGAGAAACGCAAACTGATCCAGCAACAACTGGTCCTCCTGCTCCACGCCCACAAGTGTCAGCGGCGAGAGCGAGCCAACGGTGAGGTCCGGGCCTGCTCGCTTCCGCACTGCCGGACCATGAAAAATGTTCTCAACCACATGACACATTGCCAGGCTGGGAAAGCCTGTCAAGGTGGGTGCTGCGGGCTGGAGTCTTGGTGGCAGAGGTTTAGGGTGGAATAGATGTCTCATTCTCAAGCAGCCCTTGTCAGTAAGACCACAGGAGCTTGTATACTGCCTCCTTTCTGGGTTCTATAGGATGTGTTTCTGAGTCCCCACACACCTGCCTCTTTCCCACTTGGCAGGCACTCATCTGCTGAGGGAAAAGGCATTTGGGTTTTACAGTGGTTTATGAGCTGAGACCAGAGGAGCCTGTCCCTTCTTCCTTTTCACTTCTTTCCGTCTTCATTGCAGACATCAAGGTCTTGAGCCACGTTGAGAACACACACCCATGCATGCACCCTCCAAACTCAGAGTGTCTGGCTTACAGCTGTTTGCTAGATTCTGACTGCCTTGACCACTCCCTCTTGGTCTTGAGGCTCATCAGGAGGACAGCAGAGCAGTCCTGCCGGCTGCCCCTCCGCGTGGCAGCAGCCGGTAGCCACAAAGGCAGCGCCTCCTGTTGCATCCTTCATCCCCCTCTTCCAGCAGACACCCCACCACACCCCCGGCTCTTACAGAGGGATGATACTGGTCCAAAGACGTGCTTTCCTTTCATCTTTGTCTTCTCTCCTGTTCTTCATGCTCATGAGCCTTGAGGAATCGCCCCCTATCCTCTGACATTTACGAGTTTCCAGAGTAGCCTGACAGGATGGAGGAGGTGATGGGCAAGGCTAGGCCTTGAGAAATGAAACCGCAGCGTTACTGAAATGAAGACAGAGTAGAGGAACAGTGCTGGGAGCCCCTCAGCCCCCTCCCAACTTCCCATTGGCTGCTCTGCCTGTAGATCTTCAACTGCAGGGGTTATATGGCTTCATCTTTAAAGATAACTCAAATTTAATCTTTCTTAGTGACACTGCAGAACAATGAATTGTTCTTGTACTGCATTTGCTCCATATTTCAGGTTCAGTTGTTTTTGCTGTGCTGTTTTGTTTTGTTTTGTGAGCTGAACCTTAAGCACTCATCACTCATAACATTGCCTCTGTGGGAAGCTTTTGTTTGGCATTCTCCACAGTCAGCTTACAAACATTTTGGAAAATAGCCTGTTTGTAAGTTTAAGACTGCCTATACTGCATTATGGTTACACTTGTTACCATTTTCTTATGGACTCTGGCATTGTGATTTAGGTGTAAAGTGTGAAGATTTGGATGGAAAAATAACATCTCGTTGTTTTTCTGGTCATAGTTGCCCATTGTGCATCTTCACGACAAATCATCTCTCATTGGAAGAACTGCACACGACATGACTGTCCTGTTTGCCTCCCTTTGAAAAATGCCAGTGACAAGCGAAACCAACAAAGTAAGTGAGCACTGGGGGTAGAGAAGTCTGGAGGTGAGAAAATGAGCTGTTTGTCAAGACAGTCCAGAGAGCAGGTAGGAAGCAGGACAGAGCTCACTCACCCCAGGTGTCATGGCCAGTGAGGGGACCTCCACAAGGTAGAAACATAAGGCCCAGGATCAAACTAAGGTGCATAGACTTGTTCCTGTGGATGGAAATGATGTGGGATTCTCTTTCTGCCGTGCGCCACCTCTCTGCCTTCCTCTGACAGGCACTTGAATTCAGTAGTGATAGAGCATGAAAAAGAGGGAAGCCACCTGATATAGTCCAAGAGCTGAGGTGCAGGGTATCCTGTTCCTTCACGAACACGTAGGTGTGAGGAGTGTGGGCTGGACCCTGAGTCAGCACAGCAGTGAGAGCACTTCCTGGTCCAGCGCCATCCTGAGGATAGATGTGTATCAGATGTTGTGTCCCCTTGGTTTTCATGAGCTGGTTCTTGGGTCACTGGAGTAACAGGGACCTGGAAGTGGGGAAGAGATACAGGGACACTTCTTTGGGAATTGGAAACCCCTTATCCTAACATGAACTCTGAAGGTGCTCTCAGAGAGCTCAGCAGATTGGTCAACCTCACATCCCACAGGGAGACAGCTGCGAAGGGTGTCCTCCTGCCTGGGGCTGTGGTCCCCAGCCTCATTTGTGTGATTGCCCATTTATTCAGGTTGGGAGTCTCGGCCTCAAGACTGACCACATCCCCGCCCCTCCTATTGTTTTGTTGTCTTTCAAGTCAACTCTGTAGCCCTTAGCTTGTGGCTCCAGGGCTCTCTGCTTTTCAGAGGCATCAGAGCTTATACAGAATTGATAGTAAGAGTGGCTGTGTTTTTCCCTTTTGCCCTGTCCCTGGTTTCACTTAGGAAGCTCCTCTCTTGAGTGTTCAGTGTTGGCCAGTGTAGAAGGTGCCTTTTGTCTGTCACTCTCTTGCCAGAATCCCCAATTGGCTTTTCAGCACAACCCAGTCTCATCCCATTGCTTCATCCCTCCACCCTTCCCTGTTTGCCTGTTAAGTGTCATCACACTCATCCTTCTCCTTGGTCAGCCTCACATCCCACAGGGGAGATCCTCAGGACCCACTAATCCCCACAGAAAAGGTGCTGCTTGTCTTTCTGTAAGATTCTGAGAAGTGTGCCTTCAGGGGTAAAGGCTGAGGAACTTCCTATGTCTCAAGGTTCCAAGGAATACTGTACCTAGGTGGTGTCAGTCCACAGGAAACCTTTACTTGAAGCAGAATGTCTGTGTCCTGGAGGAAGACTTCTGGGGTCAGTCCATATCTCCTTTCCCAAAAAAGACGTCCTCACAACCTCTCTTAAGAGTTTCTTGAATCAGTTTTTGTTTTCTATTTTAAAATTCACACACAATTTTCCAGGCCGTCTCTTACATAAGTTCTAGAAGCCTGAGTCTTCCAAGCTAGTATAAAATTTTTTTCTTTTTTCCTTAGTAATAAACAACAACATTAAACAACATCACATAGTGCTTACAATGTCTTGTTAGAACACATTTTGGTAATAACCTTTTGGTGGTGGTGATTTTTCTTGTTGTTATGTGCCATCGAGTCGCTTGCGACTTACAGCGATCCTGTGTACAAAAGCCCTAAACCTTGCTCTGTCCGTTGCCAGTCTTCAACACACCTATCCCCATTACCCCAGTGACAGAATCAGTCCATCTCATCAAGGGTCTTCCTCTCCTGCGCTGTCCCTCCACCCTCCCAAGCATGACATCGCTCTCCAAGGATTGATCTCACCTTGCAACATGTCCAAAGTATGTCAGACAAAGCTTCAGAATCCTTGCCTCCAAGGAGCAGCCTTAGTAGGTGGTAAAATATTCATTGTACAATTTAGATTTGTACAGTAGAAATTTCATGAATAAATGTTGAACAACAATGAACAGACTTCATTCTCAGCTTCAGTTTAGGGATATGGCTCTTCTGGTGTTTTATTTATCATAGACTACCATGGTAATCATAAACTCTTGATTTCTTTCATTTTTCTAAGAAATACTTAATGTGTTTAATCTTTATAAAGGAAAAGAAACTTTTGTGTGTGCGTGGTGTTTTCTTGTGTTTCTAACATTCTTACTGCTTGAATGTTGTGAAAAATGGATTTGGTGCATTTTCTCTCAAGTGGTAAACCACAGCTTAACTGTTAGTCATAACGTGAGGTGTAACTGGGGTAATTATGTACTACACGGTCAGAGAGAAGGTGGAAATGATCTTTAATCAAGGGCTTGGGAGTCTCCCACAGAGACCCCCAAGGTGCTGAACATAAGCCTTTGACATGCTCTTTACATTGGGTGGCTGCCTGGGCTGTGTTCTTTTGGTGTTACTTCTGTAGCTTTGTGAGTACAAAGTTGTGTGATATGGTTGTGTGAGGATGTTTTGGTGATATTTGTCCTGTATTTCTGTTATTCTCCTAAAGCAAATTGCTGATGATGTACTGACCCTGGGTCCCATGGCAGGACACGTGGCTCCTCCCTCCAGAGTTCAGTATGCACACATTAGAGATGGCACATGCAGAGTAGTAAACAGAGGCCTGTCAAAATTGCATGCAGGTCGTCCTTTCTCAGGCACTACTGCCCAGGGAAAGGGAGACGATAGATGGAGCCTGCCCTCGATCAAATGAGAATGGAAGAACATGCTGGGCAGCAGGACAATATATATCAGTACGGCTCGAAGCCTGTGAGGGGACAAATCTAAACATACAGAGATTCTTGTGCACCAGAGGTGGTCATAGGGCCCCAGGGACAGTCTGCTGAGACCCACCTGTGCCTGTATATGTAGAGTTGATGGAGACCTCTGTCATACAGCTTACCTGCTGGCTCATTAGCCCCCAGGTCGCCATGGGCTCCCTGGTATTCTCTGAAATGAAATTCAGGCCCTTTTTGTTCCCTGTAGAGATTTTGTGTGATTGTTCTTCGTGGTTTTTTTACTGGAGACTGTAACTTACCCATCTTTAGCAGCCCACCGTCCTAGCAATATTTTATGTTTATGACTCTTCAAGTACACCTCGTATAGGTCAGCCTTTGTTGCACCCACAGCAACATGGGCCTCCCCAGGGCAGGCTTGTTCCTCACACCTGCTTTGCAGGTTGCCAGGTCCCAGGAAACTTGGGACAGAAGCGGGCCTCCCCAGCCCACACACGTGTCTCAGACTCCGGGTGACAGTTGTGTACAAGGAATATTGCAGAGCACCTTGAAGGTCTGGACCACTGTGAAGCTGTGGAGCCACATGACCATAGGTTCCAGCTCAGAATCCCATGAGGGAGTCATCATCAGGTCTGCAGCATCTGCTCAGGCCCACGTTGAGATGCTTGTGATGTTTGAAACTGGGGCCTGTTAGTTGTAGATCATCTCTGGGTGTGTTTCAACTATCCACCTTTTGACTATTGAGTTGGGTGCTTCACTATGTCGCTACAGCCTTTGTCATAGCCATTCCCTGTCTTACAGCCTGCTCTTCACACTACTTATAGTCTCCTCTGATTGTGGCAAGTACTTTCAAATCCACCTTCCTAAACCTTCCTGCAGCCCAAGACTAGTTTCTGCGAGTGTGCTGAGCAGTCTATTTGTTCTGATGCAAAAATCCAAGCTAGAGCTACATGAGAGCTACCCCATCTGCTCATTGGAGTCTCCACCTGATCTTTCCACCCTCATGTCATTGTTGTTATGTGCCATCATGTTGCCTGTAACTCAAAGCAACTCTTATGTATGTACAGCAGCTCTGAAACCTGCCCTATCCTGAGCCAGTCTCACTGACTCCTACCCGCATTTCCCCAGTTACTGTATCACTCCATCTCATCTGGGGTCTTCCTCTCTTGTGCTGTCCCTCCACTCTTCCAAGAATGATGTTCTCGTGGAAGACCAGTCCCTCCTGTCCACAGACCCAAAGTATGTGAGACAGAGCTTCAAAGTCCTAGCCTCTGAGGAGAAACTTGGTTTCAAACTTTCTAAGACAGACTTTTTTTTTTCTTTTCTTGGCAATCTGTGGTATATTCAAGACTCTTATCCAGCTCAAAGGCATCAGTTCTTCTGTCATCCATGGTCATTGTTCAGCCCTCTGATGCATAGCAAGTAATTGCGAAGACTATAGCCTGGATCAGGCACACCTTAGTCTCTAGACTGACATTGTTACTTATCAGTACTCTGGAGAGGTCTCTGCAAGGAGCTGGAGTTGGAAAATCAAAAGGGCCAAACTTGCTCATCATTTCTTAAGAAGAAAGAACTAAAGAACAAATTCAAGCCGTGAGTTGCAATAGTTAAGGGTGCTATGGGCAGAATATTGAATGATCCAGGAAGCATTACAAGAAGATGTAAGTAGTATACAGAGTCACTGTACCAAAAAGAATTCACTGATACAGGAGAGTTTTATAAAAAAAAAAGTATGATTGAAAGGCAATGGTGATGAAAGAGGAAGTGCAGGCTACTCTGAAGGACTTGGTAAAAAATAAATCCCCCAGAATTGATGGAATACTAATTAGATGCTGCCTGGATATGCTTACCAGGTTGTGCCAAGAAATCTGGAGGAGATGCGCGGTTCAAATCCACCAGATGCTCTGCTAGAGAAGGAGGGACAATCTCCTCCTGTACCAGTCAGATCTGATTTGACGATACACACAAAAAATAATAAAATAAAATGTTTAAATGAAAAAATTTAAGAAAAAGAAACTGGAGAACTGAATAGAAGAAATTCATCTTTATTCCCATTTTTTTTTAAAAAGTGACCACCCTCATAGAGCTTGAAAACATAGTCAGTAGGGTCTGCATTGGATTTCTTAGGTGAACTAGCATTTAGTGAGAGTGATAAGGGGTTGGCATCTCCCAGTTAACTGAGTGTTGTCATCCAGCCCCCGTCTGTTCATAGAGCAGTCTTAGTGCAGTAGGGTCAGGGTGTGGTACCCTCTGAGAAGTAAAGGGTCCCTGGAAGAAGCCACTCTGGACCTGCTCTTTGCTCATAGTTGAGCTCCCCCAGGAGAGGGAAGATGAGGCAGAAGGGGTGTTTTCAGGGAAGAGTGGAAAATAGGCAGCTAGCCAAGGCGTCCGTCAGCTAGGGAGAAGGCTAGAGGCTGGTGCCCAGGCTTGGAGCACTTGAATGGTGACCACACGTTCCAGGAGAAGAGAGGGGATGTGAGCATGGCCCAGTCAACAGAGCTTGACTGCCATGAAAGGAGGGAAGCATCAATAATATGACAAGAAGACGGTCTACATTTTTACCCAGATGACCTATATACAATAAAGCCTTTCGTTGTTGGCAAACCACAAACCCCCTCAAGCTTGCAGTCCTACACGCATGCATCATTTGTGTGAAAGTGTTGGACATGGAAATAGAGTGTAGATAGACATGTTCACGGCTGCTAGATAAGTGGGACTTCCTGTATTTAACACAACTTGCTCCTTTTTATGTCCAAAGACCACTTGGAGTGGTAGGAGGGAGAACATTTGTTGCCTTGAGCCATCAAGTAGATTAGCACCAAGACTTGGAGCTCCCTCGGTTCTGCGTAGGCTTGCGGCCAGACGTAAGGCCATCTTATAACACTAATTGTCTCCCACTGCTCCTACATCTGAGGGACACTGGAGGAAGGTGGAACCAGCAAGATTTGTCTGAGACAGTATCAGGTGTGGTAAAGACAGAGTTTCTCTTTCATTAAGTGGCAACTGTTACATGGATGTGTCCTCTGTGTTCAGGCAGTGAAAGGAAACGAGTCTGTGTGGGTGAAGGCCTGAGTCCTTGCGGTAGCCACCAGGAGTGCCTTCCCTCAGCGACTTATGCTGTCCCCTGGCATCATCTGGGCCCCACATAAGACCATGTTTAAGTATCAGATTCTTAAGTCTGTGGTTTGCTTTCTGCTGAGTCTATACATTTGGAGAAATGCCAGGTTTAAATGCCGACTTAACTAGTTTTCTGCTTTGTTTTTTATTGCTACATGTTTCTTTTACAATAAAAAATAGAGGTAAGGTGTTTACAATGAGAAAAAAAATGTAGTCTAACACAGGCATGAAAAGCACAATCCAATCACCTTCTTGAAGTGGTCTAGCCTTCACGCCCAGGGGAGTTCCAGCTAAATAGATGACATTTGGGGGAGTGCATTTCAGGGTGGGACATAGGAGGAAGATGTCCCTATTGAGGGGTAGTAGTTACATTTGACTGCGTGGATCATACCAAACTGTGGCTGACTATAAGAAGAATGGGAATCCCAGAACATTTAATCGTGCTAATGCAAAACCTATACTTGGACCAAGAGGCAGTCATCAGAACAGAGCAGGGCAACACTGAATGGTTCAAAATTGGGAAGGGTGT